GTGTAAACATCATCATTCTGACCAATCAGTATTTGTTGGGTTTTTTTTCATAAGGGTGCGGTGATACCATGGCTTTGGCCAAAGTTGTTAGAATGATACCACACTTAAAACATCATTAGTGTGGAAATCTGTAATAGCGGTGCTTTTCGTGTCGATCATTGCACAACACTGTCTTGACAATCTTTGTTTGATTATGAGTAGTTACAGTATTTATGTTTTGAAAAACCCATGTTTGTGATCTCAGTCTAACCAGTTTGTTGAAGTTAATATTCAAAGATTTTGTTTCTGAAGAATACCTTTTTTAAATTACTTGATGATATATGGTATGTAAAATATTACTTAAACATTAAACGAAATTTGTTTGTGTTTAATAGTGAAGAGAATGATGGAAGTTGGAAAAGCTGTCCTCCAGAGAAATAATTTTAGTGACTTGAATGATATAAGGTATGTAACGGAAACCTCCTGTGTTTATTGAGTATGTTTTTTACTTTTCGGAATGCTATTTTAGAGGTGATGGCAACAACTGCAGTATGAATTATTGAAGAAATCGGGTCTGCATTCACTTATCACATGACTTCTCAAGTAGAATGTGCTGGCATTGAATATAAACTCTTTTTTTCTGATGAATTTCCAGCGCAGATTGCATTCCAACTCTGAGATTCTTTCTTGATCACATCTTGGGATAGGGGGGGCACTTCAAACAACTTACCTAAAAGACTGCTATTTAATTACGTGCTGAAAATATGCTCTAAGTCCTAGATTCCAGAAGAGAGGTAAACTTTGTCCTATTCAAGCAGGGCACTGCATTGTGTTTCAGTCATACCTGCATTCATTTGATTTCAGTGCTGCACCCTTTAGTTTAAGCCAGTGCCTTTGATAGCCGAAGTAAATTGTAACATAATTTAAGTAGCGTAGTGTATAGGGAGCTGGGCCTTCGTGATTAAAATAGTTAGAAACTACACTCATCTAGTGACAGTTGGCTTTCCAGCTGAAAACTAGATACGATACATTTAAGATAACATGTTGTGAAGAAGGAGGCTTTAAAAAATAAAATGTCTCTTAAATACAGCGATGTGAAGGAGGAGGTTAATGGGCACTTGAAAAGGTTTCCTGAGAGCATAATGAAAGGAAAGGGCGTATTTTTGTTCCTGCCTTTATGTACAAGGAAAATGTGATGAGTTCTTAATTCAGTTGATCATGTTAAGTTGCAATGTTTCACTTCTTCCTGAATTAACATCACCAGTATTTTTTACTTGTTTTCCTTTCCTAAGGATGGGTTTTCACTGGCCTCCGTTCTGCTCAATATCCCACTTGCACCTTCACGTCCTGGCCCCAGCCAGTCAGCTAGGATTCTTATCCAGACTCATTTACAGAATCAATTCCTACTGGTTTATCACGGTAAGTGTAATGCAGATGAGCTTTTCAGTAGGTTTTCAATTGCAAGCTGAAAATGTGACATCTTTCTAACATTTTAACTATGTCCAAAAATGCTTTCAGCAATTATTTTTGTCATTACTATAATTATTGTTACTTATATTTTGCGTTAAGTATTTGAGAAAACATAATGGTAAAATGTAACTTTAATGTCTATGCTTATTAAGGGAAATGGAGTGAGAATAACATTCACATTAGTTCTGGATCTAATGTGTAGCTTAGGCAAATGTGATAAGCTTCTGAGGACACTTTTTTTAAGTATTTGTTCTTTTAATGCGAAAGGATATATTCAAATGTGATGGGCTATGTATTGCACATACCCTGGTACATCCAATTTAGGTGAAAAACATGGCCACCTAATGATTGCTTGTATCATTTCACATGGTTTTTCTCATAGTGTCATCTTTAGACTGAAACAAGTGTCTGCTTTACAAAAACATTGTTTGTACTGGTTTATGTCAGCGGAGGTGAGCAATGAGACTGAACCGGCACTGACTAAATCACTCTTTGAAAATCTCTCTCTCGAGAACTAAAGCTTACTCTCGCTGCTTTGATGCAGCAAAGAGCCGATCCTTGCAATGTAGCTGCAGCATCCTGGTGTCATTGCACAGCCCCAAAACGAAGATGCTGAAAAGGGTCTGTCTCATCTAAAGAATATAGACAGCCTCTTAAAGGCAGAAAACTTGGCTTCTTCACAGCGGTACCTCGCTGGAGATCTTACGTAGCTCAAAAAAAGCAGATGTGTCTCTGCTGTATTGGTAGAGCGTTACACAGATATTTGGCCCTCAAATAAGTATAGTTGTGTAGTTTTACTGCGTACTATCTTGGATTAGCACAGGGAGATCTGTACCAAGTTTGGTTATCCAATATGGATGCACTTCAAAAGATATTTTGCCCTGTTGTCAAGTTGGAAAATGTTCTTGAGTTGGTTCGGGGTTTGTTTTTTTTTTTTTAAATTATAATGGCTCGAATGTGATACTTGTTCAGGAATGCAAAACAAGATTCAGATAACTTCATTTTCAGTTGCTCCATGCTTTATCTAGCTTTATTTGCAAATAAACTGCAAGAGCTACTTAACTCCTGTTAAGTTGTTCCTACCCTAAGTAGCTGATTGCATTTTCACTGTGTGGATTTAAAACACGCCAGACTTAAACTTTTCACCTTTTAACATGGTTCCTTTGGAGATCTTAATGATCTCCAAAGCACTAATCCTCAAGCACTAGTTCAAAACAAAAGATTAATTCAGCGGGACTGGCAGAAAAAGGCTGACAGTAAACTGATTTGCTTCAGAAGTGCCCGTGTTAGTCACCATGTGCCCCATCTGGCCTGCTAGAACAATGTTGGCAGGCTTCCTTCTGCCCTGAGCCTTTCTGAGGGCTCTGTGGGCTGGTGCTGTTACACATACAAAGTACAGCTGTCCCAGTTGTGCGCTAGATGCATAAATAGCCGTACGATGAGAAAAGTTATGTGTGAGCGTGGTGACATAACCAAAGAATGGCTGTATATCTCGTGACATGAACCACATACGTGAATGCACTCCATCCCTCAGCAACGTATGTGGCTGGTGTGCAGCTGGTTGGGTGATGAGGGGCCACAACGCGCCGTTCTGGAGCGTCTCCCAAAGAATTCCAGGTCTCACGGCTTGGTTGTTCTGAGCACTGCTGACTTCTGAGGTCTTTAAAACCACACTGCTCTATCTGCTGTTTATTTGCTCAAACATCCGCTGACTTTCATAGGTTCTGTTTCCTTTTCTGATCGCCTAATGGGAGTTTGATGGAAACTGTGAGAGTCTGCTGTTTAAAGCAATCATTGTATTCTGCTTCTGTTGTATGCTTTGTCTGCAAGAATGAAAAGTAAATGCTCTGTCAGTGTCACTTACTATTTTTAAAATGGAATTTTCAGTATACTGAAGGTCCACGGTGTAACTAATGCATTGCTTTCTCTTTCATAGGCTGAACAACTGATTGAGCGACTGCAAACTGAAAATGCTGCCAGTTGAAAGCACTCTTAGCCTTGTGTTGCTAGCCGGTTTGTTCTTTGTCTTTGAACTCTGATTTAAGGTTGCACAGTTTGATGTTACCAATAATAAATACGAGGATAAAAAAAGCTTTAGTTCCTTATGAGGAAATACACACAGAATTTGTAGCTGCCAACCTAATTCTCCCATTTGGATACTTGAGTCTGTATACTTCTCTGACAATAAGGTGATGTATTTTAATTATAATTTTATATTTGTGTGTGTATATATATACGTACATAATACATACACACACATATGCACACATGCAGAGAACTGTTCCTAGTAAAAGGCAGGGTACAGCAGCAGAATGTACTGCAACTAAGGCAACAAGTTACTACTAACAGCATGTGTGTGGTACCAAAAGGAATATTTGTTGCGGAATCAAGCTTTTATTTTAAAGATGCATTGTTCTGGGATTGCAAGTAACATTTAAAACATTTACGTTTCCATCTGTGTTTTTATGATATGTTACTTATGCCTAGTTATTAGTAGGTACATTGCTGAAAGTACACTACTAACTTTCTGGTGCTAAACCACTTTAATGTAGTACCTGTCTTACTTGCATGACAGTGATATAGTAAATGTTAATACAATAGGTGCCCAGGGTGTGATAATGCTATATAACATAGAATATAGTTTAAATGTATGTGTAAGTGGTTGTATGTTGGACTTAAAAGATTGTTTCCCTCTTACGTGCACAATATTTTAAATTAGTTATTGTATGTTTACAAAAAATTTGAAGA